TCGGAGAAACGATTACACTTTTTATAAAATGTGTTGAATAGAGCAAGTTTTATGCCACAAAAATAAAACAGGCATTTCATGTTATCAAGTACAAACACAAGATTTCAATTTTGCTTCCAAAATCCCTGAGTTTTGCTTCCCGTAGGTAAGAAAGAAAAGAAAGAGAAAGGGAAAAAAGAAAGAGAAAGGAAAAGAAATGGAAAGTGAGAGAAAGCGAGAGAGAAAGAAAAACAGAAAAGAGAAAGGGAGAGAAACCGAACATAAGAAAAGAGAAAAAAAGGAAAAGAGAAAGAGAAAGGAAAGAGAAAGAAAAAGAAATGAAAAGTGAGAGAGAGAATGAAAGAGAGAGAGAGAAAAGAAAGAAAGGGAGAGAAAGAAAGGAAAATAAGAGAAAGAGAAAAAAGGAAAAGAGAAAGAGAAAGAAAGGAAAGAAAAAGAAAAAGAAATGAAAAGTGAGAAAGAGAAAGAAAAACAGAGAAAAGAGAAAAGGAGAAAGAGAAAGGAAAAGGAAAAGAAAAGAAAGAAAAAGAAATGAAAAGTGAGAGAAAGAATGAAAGAAAGGGAGAGAAAGAAAGGAAAGTAAGAGAAAGAGAAAGGAAAAGGAAAGAAAAAACTGAAAGAGAGGGAGAGAAAAAGAAAAGGAAGGACAGAAGGAAGGAAGGAAGGAGACAGAAGGAAAAAAGAAGAGAAAGCTTCCACTTGTCAACATCAAGCTAAATCATCCTAATAAACCTGCCTAATAAAGCATGTTTTGACCTGTGGGAAGAAACAGAATAGATCGTTTGCCTGATCTTCCCAGAGAAAGTTCCAGAATCTGGGAACGCGTCTCTTACTTTCCCAGGCTAAAGTAACCCCAACCTAGGAAAAAGGCCCTGAAGCCCCCAGCCCCCCCCCCCAAAAAAACCCCAAAGCAAGATTGAAAAACCTGTCTGGCCACATAACCTGCAAGTCGCCCATCCTCACCGTGACTTTTCAAGGGTAGACTGCTCTTGAACACGGAGCTTGCCCGCTAAGGTTTGGTTCCTGAAAGCACCGCCTTTTGCAGCCTGAGGCCTGCCACCAATGACTTGACACTGTCCTGACCCCTCCCTCCTCCCCCCCATCAACCCCCCAGCCCCCTCCCCCCCAGCCCCTTATCAAAACCCGAGAAAGAATAGAGTGAAACCGCAAATAAACCCACAACTTTTGAAAGTTTGTCTTTCCAACTGGGAGGCGATAAGAATCCCGGATTAAATCAAGAAATCCACACGTATTCACACACCTAATCAAAGGCAAAGACACTTGGGGGTGGGGAGGGAGAGGAAGGAAGTGGGGGGGGGAAATGAGGTGGCCTGCATACCCGTCGGAAGAGATCAGATGCAGAAAAACCGAACAGGGCTGGAGTTATAGGCAACATCCAAGGCCTTGCAAAGGTGACCTGATCTTCTTTTCAAGTTGGTTCTCTCCCCCCCCCCCCAAGCAGGAGAACCGGGTGCAAAGATATGACTTTCAAATAAACAAATGAATCAAAAGGCTTTATGGGCGCTGGGTGGTCTCTGAGCTTTGGGGGCTTTCTGCAGACGTTTCATGACCCAACTAGGTGATATAGTCAGGGTTAGAAGGGAGAGTGTTTGGGGAAAGGAGGAGGAGGAGGAGGAGGAGGAGAGCTACTGTGGGGTCCTTGGTGCTCTCGGAGCTGGGTGGTTTTCTTGCAGACGTTTCATGACCCAACTAGGTGATACAGTCAGTGCTAGGGGGTTTGCTGAAAGGAGGAGGAGGAGGAGGAGGACGACGACGACGACTGTGGGGTCCTTGGTGCTCTCTGAGTTGGGTAGTTTTCTTGCAGACGTTTCATGACCCAACTAGGGAACATCATCAATGCTAGAAAGGAGGAGAAAGGAGGTGAAGGAAGGAAAGAAGGAAGGAAGGAAGGAAGGAAGGAAGGAAGGAAGGAAGGAAGGAAGGAAGGAAGGAAGGAAGGAAGGAAGGAAGGAGAACTATGGGGTCCTTGGTGCTCTCTGAGCTGGGTGGTTTTCCTGCAGACATTTCATGACCCAACTAGGTGATACAGTCAGTGCTAGGGGGGTTGCTGAAAGGAGGAGGAGGAGGAGGAAGAGGAGGAGGAGGAGGAGGACTAAGACTGTGGGGTCCTTGGTGCTCTCTGAGCTGGGTAGTTTTCTTGCAGACGTTTCATGACCCAACTAAGTGATACAGTCAGTGCTAGAAGGGAGGGGGTTTGCTGAGGAGGAGGAGGAGGAGGAGGAGGAAGAGAAGGAGGAGGAAGAGGAGGAGGAGGAGGACTGTGAGGTCCTTGGTGCTCTCTGAGCTGGGTAGTTTTCTTGCAGACGTTTAATTACCCAACTAGGTGACATCATCAGTGCTACAAGGGATTGAACAAGCCCTACTTCCCTCTAGCACTGATGATGTTAACTACTTGAGTCATGAAACGTCTGCAAAAGACATACCAAGCTCAAGACACACCAAGAACCCTCCTCCCCCTCCTCCTTTCCACAAACTCCCTCCCTCCTTGCACTGATGAAGTTACCTAGTTGGGTCATGAAACGTCAGCCAGGAAGCCAGAGAGCACCAAGTACCACCTCCTCCTCCTCCTCCTCCTCCTCCTCCTCCGATGATGTCTCCTCGTTGGGTTCCCAGCCCAGCTCAGAGAGCACCCAGGACCCATCACTCGAACCCTGATCCACAAAAGGCCTTTAGCGTTTTGTGTCCCTGCTGATTAAACAACAACTTCTTGCAAATTAGACCCCGAAAATGTCCTCGTTCAACATCCCACCTATCAAATTAATAAGTAAACAAATCAATGTTAACGGAAGCCAAGGCACTCATTGATTTCTCGCTGTGCTCCAAACAAGCACAGGATAAAAACACAATCGGTACCGCAAAACAATAGTTTAACAACACAGCAGAGCTTCTAGTTTGGAAAGGGCCACATTCAAACCAGCCTTTGTGCATTCCAGTTAATGTTCTTTTTCCCCCCAAAAGAAATCACATTGGCTTGTGAGAACTCAGCTAACCCGGGTCCAGCTACGAATATTTTTTGCCCTGGGGGGGGGGGCACAAGGAGCCTCTCTCGTTGTAGAAAAAGAGAATAATTTTAACCACACACACGCACACTGTGGCAGTGAGGATCAGCTTTGCAAAACTCAAACGACAGACAATCCGCATTCCCAGGGCTGCAGGTCAACAAACCTTCATGTAACCGCGATGGAGCTTGCCCCGGATCTGTTCATCCAAATGTTGGCTTTTCCCCTTACCCCCCCCCCCTCGTCCGAACCAGCTTATGTAGATCAAACGCAAAGCAGGCAGCGAAGAGAGCAACCCCGGCCGAGCCATCCAAGCTGCGCAGTTGCCCCAAGTGGGGAGGTGCATAGGATCCCGCGCAAAGCCACTTTGCGAAGGGCGCCTGGCCAGAGCGAGGGCGCGCAGCGGGGACGTCCCGGGGACCCTTCTGCCCCTCTGTTCTTTGCCCCGCCCACTTTTCCAGGCAATCCCGCGTGTGTGTGTGTGTGTGTGTGTGTGTGCGCGCGTGTGCGTGTGTGTGTGTGTGTGTGGCTTGTCTCCTTGGAAGAAGCGCCCCGTCGGGAGACCCCGCTGGAAGGACGCGCACGGCCGCCCTCTTCCTCCTCCCCCCTTACGACCTGGTGCCCCCCTCTTCCTCCGCGGGACTACAACTCCCATCGCCCCGGCCAGCCCCCCCACCCCCCCAGTAGCACCCGACGGAGTGCTTCCCTCTACCGGGTTGGATAGCCCTGTTGCGCGAAGACGGGGTCCGAGGGGGTGCGAAACTCGGGGTTCACTTAGGTGGGGCCCCCCTGCCTGGTCCCTCAATGCCCACCCCCCCCCCCGCCGGCAAACCGACGATGCCGGCTGATGGGACGAGGGTGGGGGGAGGAAAGAAGAAAGGGCGTCTGGGTCGGAAGGATCGGGCCGGGACGGAGGGAGGGGCAGCCGGGACCCAAATAAGGACCCCCGCCCCTTCTTTCACATCTCCCCCCCCCCAAACAAACGATGGGACGGGAAGGCAGGAGGAAAGGGGGGCTGGCTTCCAGGCATCGGGCCGGGAGCGAGGGAGGGGGGCATCGGGGGCCCCAGATGGGGACCCCCGCCCCGTCCCTCCATTCCACCCCCCCCCAAACTGATGGGACAAGCAGGCAAGGAAGAGGGAAGGCAGACTGGGTCCCAAGCATGGGGCCTGGAGCGAGGGAGGGGGACATGGGGGGGCGCCCCGTCCCTCAATCCCACCACCCCCAAACAGACGGGGCGCGTGCCCCCCCCCCGCTGGAACGAGGCGGGAAGGCAGGAAAGAGGAAGGGGAGGCTGGCTTCGAAGGAAGGGGGGTGAGCGAGGGAGGGGGCAAGATGGAGACCCCCGCCCCGTCCCTCAATTCCACCCCCCCACCCCCCCAAACACATTAGCCGGCTGATGGGACGGGGCGGGAAGCTAGGAAAGAGGAAGGGGCGGCTGGCTTCGAAGAAGGGGGGGTGAGCGAGGGAGGGGGCAAGAGGGAGACCCCCGCCCCGTCCCTCAATTCCACCCAACCCCCCCCCCAAACACATTACGCCGGCTGAAGGGACGGGGCGGGAAGCTAGGGAAGAAGAAAGGGGGGGGGTGGCTGCGAAGGAGGGGGGGAGCGAGGGAGGGGGCAAAATGGAGACCCCCGCCCCGTCCCTCAATTCCACCCCCCTAAATGCATCACGCCGGCTGATGGGACGGGGGGAGGGAAGCTAGGGAAGAGGAAGGGGCGGCTGGCTTCGAAGGAGGGGGGGTGAGTGAGGGAGGGGCCAGCTGGGGCCAAGAGGGGGACCCCCGCCCCGCCAAGAGGGGGACCCCCTTCCCCCAATTCCACCCCCCCAATGCATCACGCCGGCTGATGGGACGGGGGGGGGAAGCTAGGGAAAAGGGGGCCTGGCTTCGGAGGATCGGGGAGGGAGGGGGCAGCCTGGGGGGGCCACAGATGGAGACCCTCCCCCCGCCGACGGCCAGACCGGGGGTCCCGCGCCCACCTGGAGCCTCGCAGAGCGACCGCGCCTCCGCCACCGCGGGGGGCTCGACAGCGGAGCCGGGTCGGGACGGAGCCGGGACCGGACCGGGCAGGGGCGCCGTCTAGCCCAACCGAGCCGTCGCTCACTCACCTGATCGGCCAGCCGGGCCGCCGAGCTTCCGCAGGGAGGAGTCGCGCCGGACCGCCCCCGACGACGGGCCGGCAGGTGCCTCCCTTCCGGGCCGGGCGGTGCCGCGGAGCGCTGCGGAGCGCAGCCGGGGAGCCCTGCGGGGGTCGCGGGACGCTGCCGGGGCTCGGGGGGGGGGCGGCAGCTGCGCCTCTGGGGCCGGGAAGCCCGGCTGGGGCTGCGGAGCGGGAGGCAGGGCGTCCCAGCTCGGGCGCAGGAGAAAGACAACCCGGCTTAGATCCGGGTTCCCCTCCACCGGGACGGGGAACCTCCGGAGGGGAGGGGTCTCTCCAGCTTGGTAACTTTCAGGTGGGTGGACGTCAACTCCCAGAATTCCCCTGCCAGCATGCTTTAAGAGGAGTGGATTTCAACTCCCAGAATTCCCTGGTCTGCATGCTTTAAGAGGGGCGGACTTAACTCCCAGAATTCCCCTGCCAGCATGCTTTAAGAGGGGCGGACGTAACTCCCAGAATTCCCCTGCCAACATGCTTTAAGAGGGGCGGACCTAACTCCCAGAATTCCCCTGCCAACATGCTTTAAGAGGGGCGGACGTAACTCCCAGAATTCCCCTGCCAGCATGCTTTAAGAGGGGCGGACGTAACTCCCAGAATTCCCCTGCCAGCATGCTTTAAGAGGGGTGGACTTAACTCCCAGAATTCCCCTGCCAGCCTGCTTTAAGAGGAGTGGACTTCAACTCCCAGAATTCCCCTGCCAGCATGCTTTAAGAGGGGTGGACTTAACTCCCAGAATTCCCCTGTCAGCATGCTTTAAGAGGGGTGGACGTAACTCCCAGAATTCCCCTGCCAACATGCTTTAAGAGGAGTGGACTTAACTCCCAGAATTCCCCTGCCAACATGCTTTAAGAGGGGTGGATTTCAACTCCCAGAATTCCCTGGTCTGCATGCTTTAAGAGGGGCGGACTTAACTCCCAGAATTCCCCTGCCACCTTGCTGTCCACCATCCAAAGTTGCCAAGCTTGAGCGACATGGCTCCAGGCACTGGGAAATGGCCTCAAAAGCTTCTCATAGCTGACCCAAGCAAGTTGCTATATTAAAAGAGGAGGGGGGAAGCAGGCAGGAGCCCAAGGCAGCCCCCCCCAGAGCAAAACCTCTGGGTTGATTGACTGATTCTCTCCCACCGTGGAGGAAGGAAGTGCGGGGGGGCTGCTTTTCTGCAATGCTCAGTCACCTGGACTGACGTGTTTTATAAATGCATAAATATATCAGAATTGATATTTGATATTCTTGCCCTTAAAATGTCACTGGATGGACCTGGAACGTCAAGAGGAGCAGATCTCAGTTTGCAAAAAAGTTGCATTGTTTATTGATTTTATTTATTGGTATCCCTTTTTTTATTTTTACAAATAGCCCAATAATCATACCCAACGTACCTTCCTCCACCTCTTTCTGTTCCTTACAACAACGACCCTGTGAGGTGGCTTGGGCTGAGAGAGAGAGAGGAATTGGCCCATCGCCCAGCCGGCTTGCGTACCTAAGGTGAGACTAGAACTCACGGTCTCCTGGTTATTGATGCAAAGTCACCAAGCCAGTTTTCAGGCCTTAAGGCAGAACTAGAACTCACTGTCTCCTGGTGATTGACTCAAAGTCCCCCAGCCAGCTTTTTTATACCTAAGCCAGCTTTGATGCCTGAGTCAGGACTAGAACTCACTCTCTCCTGGGGATTGGCCCAAAGTCATCCAGTCGGCTTTCATACCTAAGGTGACACTAGAATTCACCGTCTCCTGGTGGCTGGACCAAAGTCACTCAGCTGGCTTTTCACGCCTGAACTAGAACTCACCGTCTTCCACTGATTGACCCAAAGTTGCCCAGCCAGCTTTTTTTTATATCTAAGCCAGCTTTGATGGAACAATTAGGACTAGAACTCACCATCTCCTGTTCATTGGCCCAAGGTCACCCAGGCTGAAGCTGGACCCAAATTTGGGATGCAACTAAATTCTTATGAGCAGTTTTTTTTTATTGAAAAGTTTTATACAAGTTTTTAACAATATCCCCCCCTAAAATAACCCCCTCCCTCCCTCCCCCCCACTCACTTCCCAGAGCTGGTTACAAGGTTACAAATAAACAAACAAATTCTAAATAAACTTATCCAACTATACAAATAACAAAATCAGTAATGTACTTTAACTCGAATACAAAACAAATTTAAGCAAATAATATATATATATATATATATATATATATATATATATATATATATATATAAACAATATAAGCAATTCCAAATTAAAAAACTAAAAATTATTCATAATCTAAATAACACTTTTTAATCCCATATCAACTCTATTTACTCTACATATAATTTATCCCTCTTTTCCACGCTGAGGTGTATATTTCTTTTAAACAACCATTCATCCATAATAAACATAAAATTTTCCTTCCAGTATAACCCAACCAACAAACTTAAATTCGATAAACTTGGCTATTTGCTTTTTTCCCACCCCTAAGTAAATCTATTAATACCCTCCTGCTTAAGAAGTTACCATTCATCTTAATCACAGAGATCATTAGAATTTAAATTCTTTTTTACATTTACCAATTCTTATGAGCAGTTTTGTAATCCAACTCCTGAACATGTTCAAGCAGAGGCCACTTGAGGCTTTTACCAGGATTCCTGGTCTGAGCAAGGGGGGGGGATAGGCTAGATGATCTCTGGGTTGCCTTCCAATTTTAGGACTTAGGACCTCGGCTGAGCCCCAAAGTTTCTGTTGCTAAGCAAGTCAGTGGTTAAGTGAACTTTGCCCCATTTTACGAGCTTTTTTGCCACCGTTGTTAAACGAATCATAGAATTTCGTAAGTTAAACAACTTGGTCGTTAAGTGAGTCCGGCTTGCCCACTGACTTGCTGGAAGGTCGAAAAAGGGGATCACGTGACACCCCCCCTCCCAGACTCTGCAACCGTCAGGAATAAGAACCAGTTTGCCAAGGGTCCCAATTTTGATCGCCTGACCCTGGGGATGTGGCAGGTTGCTAAGTGTGAAAAACATCGTAGCTTTCAACGGTCACTAAACAAAGCGCCGTTAAGTCGAGAACTAGCTTTGGAAGAGAAAGGGGAATGCCAGCTGCTCTTTCTCAAGAGAAGGGCCCTGGCAAGGAAACCACAAAGTTTACACTTGGGTAGTCATCCTAATCCGGAAGCGGCTGGCACAGAAGGACAAGGCGGGTGTGTAGTTTCCACAACCGAGATCACACTTCCTGGACTGAATGAAACAGGCCGATCTTTGAGGTTTTAATTCTCACCTTTGGCTGCATGAGATTGTGGGATGTAAAAGGATCAGACTTTGTCGGGCCGATTTTGAAAAAAAAAAAGCTCAAAAAAACAGGAGCCGGTTTGGCCCCCGAATCGGTGGGCTGCATTGGAAAATGGAAAAAAAGCAAACGAGAACGAGACAACATGAAAACAAGGAAAATCCACACGGCGGCTGTGATGTCCCAAGGAGCTGAATATGACCTCGGGAGGCAACACAGAACCGGCACGGCCGGATCCCCAAAACTAAGCAGAAAAAACGGAGATGGTTGGTGGTTGGGATGGGAGACCACTAAGAGATCTCTTAGGAGAGTAGAAGGACCGGCAAATTCTTGCAAAAGCGGAAGCTGACCGGAAACCACCTTCATTTCGATCTTTGAAACGTTGATAAATCTGAGCTGAATTATGTTGCTCCTTGCGAATTTAGGGAGGGAGAAGCTTTACCGATTGGATGGCTACCTGTCAAAAGGAGAAGACATCAGCAGCCCTTAGAAACTCAGTTTTCTACCCCTCCTGACAGAATGAAAGAGGGGTAGAAATGTAAAAATATTGGGATGATGTATGTCAGTGTTTCTCAACCTTGACAATTTTAAGGCATGTGAACTTCAACTCCCAGAATTCCACAGCCAGCAATGCCTTAAATTGAAGTCCACATGCCTTAAAATTGTCAAGGTTGAGAAACACTGATGTATGTGAATGAAAAGTTTGAAATTTAAAGGTGAATTAGGCTGAAGAGAATCAGGACTAAGTGACTGAAGCACTAGGGAAATTAAGCTTAAATAAGAAGTTGGAAAATAAGATATATAGTGATTTAACAGATTAACTTTTACAAATATAAGTGAAACATAAATTGATCAGAGAAGATGTTATAGGTAGATGTCATAAGACAGATAAGCAGCATGGTATTTTTACAACGTATTTTTACAACGGAAAACAGTGGGATGGTGTATCTAAATGGAAAACCTGGATATTTAGAGGATTAATATTGAGCAAATTATGACGGATAAGAATGGTTTGAATATTAAGGGGAAATTAAGCTTAGATAAGAATAGGATATATGGTGAACTAATAAGATGATTTTTAGAAAAATAACACGTTGATAAGAAAAAATGTCATACGTGGATGTTATATGTACAAACATAAAAAATGTTTATATTTAACCATGTATGCACTGAAAATATTAAGAATGATATTTGTTTAAGGTTGAAGAAGGAGTATATTATTGGGAAAAGGGAAGATCAAAGAAATACACTATTAATATATAAATTATGGAATTACAAAAATTAATTATTATTGACTGTTAAATTATTGTTTTTTTTTTAAAATACATGCTGTACACTAGGCACTAAGGATTGTCACTGTAAAAAAATCAATAAAACATTTCTAAAAAAAACAACAACGTAATAAATGCAGGTAGTCTTAGACTTAGAACTGTTTAGGGACTGTTCAAAGTTACAACGGCACTTTAAAAAGTGACTTAGGACCGTTTTCCACACTTATGACCGTTGAAGCATCCCCGCGGTCAGGTGATTTACATTCGGATACTTGGCCACTGACTCATATTTATGACGGTCGCAGTGTCCCGGGGTCACGTGATCCCCTTTCTGTGATCTTCTGACACAAGCAAAGTTAAGGGGGGGGGGAGCCGTGTTACTAATTGAACAACTGCAGTTGTTCAATGACATTTTGTAACACAAACACA